GAGAGAGAGAGAGATCTGAGAAACAAGGGTAAAGAGCATGAGGGGAGGACTCGTCCTCATATAGGCCTCAAGGGCATCCTACTAAGTGGGATGTGACGCCACCCTCCCACATGGATCCCACGTCCCACAACCATATGGGTCCCTCTAGTGGGGGTTGGGCCGTTGGCCCCCCTCCCACGTGGATCCTCCACACACCCAAAAAAAAAAAAAGCTCCTCAATTTTGGAGATTACAAAAAATACCATTTTAGGCATTTGATCATAAAATAATTTATAAAAGATCTGAAAAATATAGGAATCGGGCTTGGGTCAAGGCGGTAGTAGCTGGGTTTTCATAGCACCATGTCTCAAGTTCCATTCCTATGTAACCTTGTCAAAAAAAAAGAAGTCTGAAAATATTTGAAAAATATAGTAGCGTAAATGAAGCTGAAAGTGATATTACGAGTTATTAAAAAATCTAAAACACATGTATAAAATATCTGAAAAATATAGGAATCGGGCTTGGGTCAAGGTGGTAGTAGCTTGGTTTCATAACACGACGTCTCAAGTTCCATTCTTATGTAACCTTGCGAAAAACAAAATTTGAAAATATTTAAAAAATACTGAAGGGTATATGAAGCTGAAAGTGATATTATGAAGTTTTAAAAAATCTAAAGCACTCAAAAATACTTCTAGAAGTAAATCGGTACCAATCGATGCAAAAACGTTAATTGTTAGGGCACTCCATCTGTCTTAGAAACTGTGATCAACGAGTATCTTCTCAAACCAGCTCAACTCAATGGGACTCATAGCCCATAGTCATGCGTAGGGGCTAATGATTGGTCCGTCAAAGCTGGAATTACAGTCTTAGTATGTGGATTATAGGTTTCCCCCGCAGAGCAAGTCTCATGCACATACCACGATAGTGCAAGGGGGACTCTCTCTATGTGCATGTACACATATCCCTCTATAGGGTTGTTTCTTAGAATGCAGCTGTTTTATGTCTATGCCGTGTGAAAGTTCTGTTGAGGATTTGACCCTCACTCTCATAAGCCTATAACAGCACACAGGAGACCAGGAAGCTCTCCTATCCTATAAACATCGTTCCTGGGCATCTCTCCGAACTCAACAAGGGATCTCTTGGAAACCCTCAAAGGTAGTGCATGTACCTAGGTGAAAGGGTTTTGCATATGACTTGGGCTATAGACCACTCAAACCTAGGTCAGTCAACCGGCATACACTCCACTAAAGTTCACAATGCACTATATTTGTTATTTTTACATGCTCTCATGGGCTTTAAAGGCCACAATCCTCAATATTCTAGGTAACCTAGGCATGTTGGAAGTAGGTGGCATTTCCAGATACGATTTAATTAAATTTAATTAAATTAAAATTTAATTACAATTAAAATAAAATAAAATAAAATAAAATAAAATAAAATAAAATAAAATAAAATAAAATAAATTAAATTAAACTCAAACCTAGGCATATTGATGATAATTACAATTTAATTAAATTAAAAGAAATTTTAAAAATAAGTGCAAAAGGATTGCTTTTCTCCTTCCCAACAATACATAAAATTCCAAAACAGTCCCTCTTGCTGTCCTAGAACTTGCGTGATCTTCCATGGATGATTCGGGATTGCTCTGGCGTCCGTTTGGCCAAAAGATGATTGCTTTCTTGTCGGGCTCGGCATGACGATCGATTTGATACGAACTTCGAGCCATGGATCTCATTTGTAGGCCACAATCATACGGCTTGAAATTTGTAACCTTTTGCTTTCTGCCTCTGTTTGGGCATAAATTATTCTATATACAATTTTGTAATGCCCTTTACTATTAATACAAAAGTCATCTTTTCCCAAAAAATGAAAAAATTGTTGCAAGTTTCAAATATTTTTCTGCTAATCTTATCATAACCAGGAAAGTTTAGACTTGGAAAGTAAATTGTTTAATGGGAATTGTTGTTCGTTGGGTACTTGAACGAGAGCAATTTTCTTTTCTCTCATGTTATTGTACATAAGTTGCACCATTAAATGTGTTCTTATGTTGATAATATCCATTCATTAATTACATTTTGATAGTGCTCACTTTCTAGTTGAAAATTTAATATCTTGCTTGGTATTGAAATCTCTCTCAAAAAAAAAAGGGTAAGAGTTGTTCCTTATTCATAGGGAACTTTCAATGTACTTCCATGATTGGGAATGAGATAACTAAAACCTTTTGTATGTAAGAATTATTCTTTCATATTGTTGGAATCATTTTACTTTGTTCATGGCTATCAATTAAGGCGCATATCTGTCTTTATCCAGACCATGGTTCTTGAGTGTGGCATAGTGAGGATTTGGTCCTTCACCTAAAGATGGGTTGTTACTTTATCTTCTGTTCATTACGTAATGATCCATTTCTCCAAGTTATGTATTCATTGATTTTGGTCATCACTACTAAGAAACATGATTGCTTGGAAATTACCTTGCATGGTCTCTCTCTCTCTCTGTGGACACACATACACACACACATAAATTTATCAATGTATATGTATACATGCATACACGTGCGTGCATGAGTGTGTGGACGTCCATGCCTACACATAATGAGACAAATAATTGTCCTACTTTAATATTTAACCTAGATACATTGTTTCTTTGACACGTTAAAGTTCTGTATCATGCGTTGGCCTGACATTCTTACAATACATAGGCAGATGTGTTATAAGTATACGCCAAAATGTTAAATATGTCCAATCATTCACCATAATGTTGAATCACTTTTCTCCTCATGGTCTTGTAGATGGCAACTGAGCATAGTTTAATCTATTACGTAACGAATACATTTGTCTAGAATACAAAATATAATATTTGGTTCATTTTCAAGGGATGGAGCTACCAGCTCCTTGCTACTCATATTTTGATTTTGTATATATATGTTGGTTTACATGTATGTGCGTGCATGTGCTTCTCCATATCTATGTATTTTTTTTTTTTATGTGTGTGTGTGTTTGTGTGTTCCTGAATGCATGTGCGTGCGAATGTGGCTTTGTATCTATCCATATATAAACAGAACTATTTATAACCTTATTTTCAGTTTTGTGTGGTTGCATCTGGTTTCCTTGAGGTTTCCCAAACCTGTTTACCCTTTTTCTGTTACATGAAATCAGTTAGCGCCTAAACTAGACAGGTCATTAACATATCCTAGGGAAGCCACTGAATACACAGAGGGGTCTTGATGAGTTCCTGGGTTGTTTTGGATACGCTTGGGGGGGCTTGAATCATTGTGTTTCAGTTTTAGTTTTGCTTGTTACCTACCACAAAGTTCTTAAGAGATTCTCAGAAATAGGAAAGAGGAAGAGTAGCAGTCTCCATCTGCTCAACAGATTAGTTTAACTTGGCTGCTTAAATGTAAAATATGAAGTCCGACATGGTCTATCTTGTAGCTCAATCTCTTCCACTATTCAGTGGAATAATTTGTTGTTATAAGTCTGGAGTAGTTCAATATACCAATGGATATGCTCCTTGGAACTTTATCTCATTATGCAGAGTTATTCAATTGTGATAATGCGCTTCCTGTCTGACAAAAAGTTAATGTCATTTCCAGTTTCTTTGATGGTATCTGATGTAATGGAATTTATCAGTTGTCTTTTATTTCATCTGTACTACCATCTGCAGTCATTGAAATTTGTGAGATTTCCTTGGTCTTGTTGAATGATAATGTGCTTTTTTAGTATGAAGATGGTTTTTTCTTTTAATAGATCTCATATTAAAGTTAAGAAAATGTATTTGATTTTCACCTTATTTTTACAGTTGAACAGATGCCATGGAACAATGTCAGTTTACCAGAGCAACATTTCTAAGAACAAAGTAGACCTTAAGCAAGCACAATATACTGATATTGACAAGCGATATTGTAATCAGCTAATTCAACTCAAGGTTCATACTTACAGTTTTATGTCCGAACTATTTTGCATTGTCCCCCCCCCCCCCCTTTTGTTCCTTTTTTTAACTTTTAATAGTTTGTTCATTTGCCGCTTTGCTTTACTACAGACCACTGAAATGGCAAATAAAGACCTGGACAGATATTATAATGCTCTTGACAAGTGAGTTCTGACTTTTCCTGATTTGTATTGTTCATGATGTTTGAGTAATCAATATTAATACATTTCAGTTACCTTGAGACTTAAACCATCAAATATTATTTGAGACACTTTTTTTCTGTGTGAGTGTGATACCATCATCCGAGTACAGATATGGTTCTAATCTCAGGACTTGCCCTTGTTGACTCAGCTCAGGGTTCCATATACTAGAAAAATAAATCGAAGAGCCCTATAATGACTCTCCAAGTCTTACCAAGGACTCTCTAAGTCCTTATTAGAGATTCCTAGCGTTTGTAACTTTTTGGTTTCATGGCTGCCAAGTTAATTTTCACTTTCGTACTAGAACATGCTTCTATGCTGTGGAACGGGGTGGCAATGTAACTATTTCTTCACCCTTTCTCTATTTCTTCCTTTATGTTATCCATTCAGAATTTTTCTTATTCCATTTTTTCTTTTTTAAATAATATTTCTTCGAATCTCACTCAGGATTCACTAGGGATGAGTCTCATTTTCCAGCTTGAGGGTGTGAGGATTCGGCAAGTCTTAGATGATTTCAATTTTGAAAATCTTTATATGTGTTTCTATAAAACACATCAGAAATTTCAATATGAAGTTTGGGATTTAATTATCACTTAACATCTCTTCTTTCTTGTAGAGCCTTGATGCGCTTCCACACCATGAAAATGGAAGAAATAAATAAAATCATAAAGGAACTGTGGCAGCAAACGTACAGGGGACAGGACATTGATTACATAAGTATTCACTCTGATTCTGAAACCTCTGGGACACGTTCTTATAGTTATCGGGTATGTGGTATGAAAACCCATAGTCATTTTACATATCTGGAATTCTATACATTCTCATCTTACATTGTTTTGTTTAGGTTCTCATGCAAACTGGTGATGCTGAGCTGGAAATGCGAGGAAGATGTAGTGCTGGTCAGAAGGTTTGGCCTTCTTACCTTAATATTTCCGTAAAAGTTTCTTCTTCAAGGTAACCAGCTATAGTAACATAAAGTGCATTTCACTTTTGAAGGTTCTCTAATGATGTATATACAGAATTATCCATTGCGTCCATGCCATCCTGTCCCATATCTACTGCAAATCATTTTACTCGATCTTTTGTACCATGTCTAATGACAGATATTAGTCATTACTCTTTCACACTTTAAATGTTACATTTTCAATTTTATTTTTTTTATTTGGTCAATGAAGATTAGACTGTAAGTATGGTGAGATCTTCATCTCAGAATCCTTCAAAATAAGGAGGGCCTCAGAGAATTAGATGTATAATTCTGGAGTTTGATCATGAGTGATCTCTTGATAATGTCTTCATGCAATGTCTGATAAGGGGAAGTATGGAAAGTAGTGAGGCAAGCAATGGAAGTGAAAATATAGGTAAGTGAATGAAAAATAGGAGTTCTTGAAGTGAGTCAAGGCTGTTTGGAATTTTAGGATGAAGATTGTTTGAGGTAAGTCGAAATTTGTTGGGATAATGCTAGAGCTGTGATGAATGGAATGCTTGAATCCATGACCTATGGCAACTTAATCTTCACCAATTTGATGTGGAGATCATTGTTGGCAGCGATAAGACAATGAGTTCTGAAAATGTGATTGTAGGGGTTAAGGTCTTCCTACCAAAGTCGAGGTTAGTATAGCATGATTGATTGGATGTTTCTTGCCTGCATCCTGTTATAGGTGAATCATGGTTGTCGGAGAATTGATATTCATGGTATTTTGGTGTTGGGTATTCCTTTGAATCATGTTATGCAGAGTGGCTATCGATGTGGAGCAGGGTTTGGAGAGAAGACTATTGAGATAGGACACAAACAAGGTTTTATTGAAAGCATCATTCTTGTCTACACTTCTATCGCTGTTGTTGTGGTTGCTTTTCTTTCACAAGGAATGGAGACATTGAACATGTCATTTCCATGACCCTATGTAATTGCTGTTTGACCTGCTTAGATGAGTGATGATAAGGAGTGGTCTACCTGTCTAGGTGCATTGCTCCCCTGGTCACATTTTCCGTCATGTTGATCTTATTTTTGACACTTAATTACAAGTTTTTGTCTTTTTTTATGTTATTCATAACTTTCCTTTTTTTCTTTTTAAGTGGTTAAAGGTGATTTTGTTTAGTGAGTCTAGTGAGCCTAAAATCTTGTTTCAAACTATGGATGTATGTTAAACTTGAAGACATGATAACATACTAGCACAATACATACAAATAAATGTCGAAATGTTAACCCAAGGATGGGCATTCTGTCCATTGTTTTTATTTTTTATTTTTTTTAATATGAAAAGACATTCAGCCATGGCTATATCTGGTGTTTGAAAACGAGGACTTGGATTTGCCAAGTCCCTAGCCCCAGCCATCAGCTTGACTTGGCTGAGTCAGAGGTCTAACTCGGCTGTGGTCTGTAAATATGGACTCAGGGTAAGTCTTGAGGTTTCAGAGCAAGATCTGACAACCTGCAGAGCCTGAATGACTCAGGCAAGTTCGAGCCTGAGTGTCGAGTTTCGAATTACTGGTTAATTAGTTGGCAGGATGATCCCCACCATCCAAATAGTGGAGTCCTTGACTGTGGTTTTGTTGGAAGTTGGTTCACCGTGATAGCTGATCCAACAGTTGAAAGGCGTATGCTTTTTTGATGTTGGGAATCCTTGTAACTGATGCAATGGTGGATGGGGGGCCTAATACTCTGTTAGATGGTCCATTCACTTCAGCTTTTTCTGTCTGTTTAAGCCTTTGAATTCCCATGTTTGGGTTCAAACTTCCTCTCTTTTTCTCATTTAGGTCCCATGTGGATTCCCTTACAGCATGTAACCCCTTTGGCCAATGGTTTTAATGGATGCAATGTTTGTATCCATTTGAAATTATATTTTTTGAAGTCTTGGAAACTGTATTATTACATCAATTCAAACAGGAATACTATAGTAATCCTGGATTACTAAAAGAAGTCCATCAAAATTGCTCAATAAATGATTATTTACCCCGTTGATTTTTAGAGCTGGGTTTTCACATTTGATACCCCAAAGTTTGAGACAAAATGCTCCATGATTCTACATTTTGATGCTCTATCGAACTTACTTCATATCTTTATCCGTGTCTAACACCAAATTTGACTCAAATGTCTTTTTAGGTACTTGCTTCACTTATAATACGCTTGGCGCTTGCCGAAACATTTTGCCTCAATTGTGGAATACTTGCCCTAGATGAACCAACTACAAACTTGGATAGTCCAAATACTGAAAGCCTTGCTTCTGCACTCTTGAGGTATATAACTGAAACTGTTCTCCGTTAATCAAGTGCTCACAAGATAGTGTAAAACTCTATATTCTGGGGTTTTTTTACCTGTTTTCTCGTGATGCTATTTCAGGATTATGGAGGATAGAAAGGGTCAGGAGAACTTTCAACTGATAGTCATTACGCACGATGAAAGATTCGCTCAGCTTATTGGCCAACGACAACATGCGGAGAAATACTACCGTATCACGAAGGATGAACAGTAAGTGCAAAAAATATTTGGAAACGTTTTTGTGTCATCTTGCAAAATATGATCTTCGTAAGACTTTGGAACCTTAATATGCAGCCAACATAGTATCATTGAAGCACAAGAGATCTTCGATTGATGGCTGTTTGATATCAAATTGCAAATACTTTGTGAAATTCCTGTGCATGTGTGATAGCATGTTTATTTGTAAGGTAAAGTACACAACCTGATGAAATATCATTGAGGGTTCTAATCCCTAAGTTTGGCAGCTGATTCTTGTGTTTTTCTTTCTTTTGTTTTTTCTTTTCATAGGTGGGAGTTGCCCAAATCGCTCTCATATTTGAAGGAGATTCCAAACCATCTCTGTAAATATTGTGCTCGAATGTAAGTTCAATATAGTGTTCTCTTATCCTCGTACTAGAAGTGTGAACTTTATTTCTGGCAGTGTTCACACCAGTTATGAGTATGATTTTGTTGGCAACCTTCTTACATGGTGTAATTCAGATAGATTCCATTCGTCCATTTTTTACTGTAAATCGTAGTTTTGAGTTTATATCTTCTGATTGGGGCATGCTTGCAATGTTCATTCATTATAACTCTTCAAATCGTTACATTGGTCACAATACTATCATCATTGAAGTTAACTATCGTTGCACTCATAAATAGATGCTGATGGTGAAATTAGTGCATGGATCCCATGGCCACATGGATTTTCAACCTTTAAATAGATGCTGATGGTGAAGTTAGTGCATGGATCCCATGGCCACTGGGATTTTCAACCTTGTTTTAAACATGGAAATGTATGCAAGAAACGAGGTGAACTTTTCTATGGAATTTTCACATCATCCCAGCCATCAGAGTTGAATAAAGGACGCTGGCGCATGCTTCTCCTCTTAAAATCCATCAAGTTTTAATGGTTTTAGCAGATAATGGATTGTGAGAAGAGGCATGGTACTGGTTTGTTGCTCTGCTATTCAAAATGATTCCTTTCATTTTTGTAATTGTCTAATTGTCTCGAATTTTCATAAGCAGCATTAATTAATGTTCTCTTAAAATTCTTGGTTTTCATTGTAGACGAATCCCTTCAATGTTAAGATTGTACTAACCTTTTAAAATGGTACCCCTGACTTGAATTCTCATGCTAGGAATGCTACCAATGATTGGCTTCACTCTTAAGTAAAAAAAATGCATGCATTCTGATGCATTCATCATTTTGAAATCATTACATCAATTACCTTAAATGTCAAGTGAGTATAAGGTTAATATATCTATTAATTGATGGCATTGACTCTCTCTCTCACTCATTATGTTGATCCCTGTCAGATTCTCGTCGATGTTTTTACTTGATCACTTGTCCATAATTAGCTTCCTGTTCACCGTGTACAAAATTGATGTACAAACCACTAGTACAAAATCGATTTACAATTGTAGGTATCGTTGTTACAATTACAAAGTTGAGCATGCGATTAGACAATTATCGAAAGATGGGATTGGTGGGGCAAAGTGGGTCTTTGTCCACCCCTTTAGCCAAGCCACTTTAGTTGCCCTACATGAATGAACCACCTTCACATCCATAATCTCAAGACATTCCCAAATTTCTCTCAACCCTCTCTTTAGCTCCCAGGGACAGGAATGGACTTGTTAGCAGCAATGGATGAAGTTACCTTTGATGATGAATCGATTGACTCTATGGTTGCACGACCTCGGCCATTACAAGAGCTAGCTTGCTTAAGCTTCATTGGAGTCACATATTTGATGAGGCCTGGAATAGTGGGCCAAAATTCTTCCTTCATGATCTTTGCGGGGCTAACATCAAAGTTTAGTTTGAACTCTCCTGGAGGCAGAGGGAGCCATCTGATAGGTGCATCTTTCTTGGGAGGACAGATAAGGCTGTCTCCTTTAAATTGCATATGGAAATCTGTGGGTGGAAAATAGACAAATTTCTTTATGAGCTATGCCTATGAGTTCGTAGTTGCTTTGAGTTTACTAAGTAGGAATGCAATTCTGTCTGGTCAACTTTGAAGGTCTGGTTGTTTTGCTTGAGCCAAATAAACCGTAAAAGTTCCCAGAATTGAAGATGCATCCTTGTTTAAGGAATAGAGGGGAGTTCCACTGCATGACCCGGAGTGTACTGAAACAGGGCAGACCCACTGCAAGTCAAACAGCCCGAGCACACCAAATATCGATAGCAAATGAGCAATTATAAAACAAGATGACTTACCGATGCAGCTTCTTGCTTACACAAATTGCTAACATTTGCAAGAGTCATTCCTTGGTATCTCAGGCAATTAAGGGCAGGGCTTTCCCGAGTATTGGTAGAAATGCTTGGGACTTACGGGGCCTAGGAAGGTTTTGTACACTCTCAGCTCTCTGATCAGGACTTCTTTGACCTGCAACCACAAGGTAATAAAGATCTTACTTGAAAACTCACATTGGGGATCTTGGATTCTTTGATCTGCAACCATATGGTAATAAATATCTTAGTTGGAATATCACCTTGGGGATTCGGTTCCCATACTGCTATATCACGGCTGGGTAGGTAGCTGACCATTGGCAGTTGGTGCTGGGGATTGGTGAACATGGAAACCTCCCCATTGTAAAACCAGTTTTGATGAAATGTATGTTTCAGTACTCTTGAGGACGTGACCAAAAATCACCTCCTGAACAGTGGAGTCAAGATCAAATGGCTTGGGGAACACTACACATTCAATTCTGGATCGGGCATCTCTCTTGCCAAAAACTCACTCTTGATCCATCACCCTCTATTAGCATTCATATATGGAACATAATCAGAGTTCAGCCATCGTTAATTGTTGCCCTCTCCATTTGGGTCTCCCTAGCCATCTTGTGGTCTGCATGGTGTTATTTATCAAATACCACCTCCTTTTGGAGTTGGGAGTGCTCACACGCATCTCCACTATTTCCTTGAATGAGCAGCTTCATATATTTTCTAAAACTAATTTTAGAAATCCAAGTTGAAGAATCAAAACTTGAAGAGGTAGTCAAGAAGCATGTGAAAATGATATTGTCTAGATGTATATTTGAGTTTTGTAGAAGTGCAGGGATGATTTTCATCTAGGAATTTTGTTGCTTGAATGTTTCTAATAAGTTCTGTCTAAAAGGTACTGCTCCTAAGTTGCCCCATCTGGCCTCCTTATTTGTCTCCAACAAGTGCATTAAAGGTGTTTGGGTAATCGTACCTATAAAAGAGGTTCTTCAACTAACGAGTTGTTTGCTGTGCTGCCTGAAGCAAGGATCGGAGCTGTTGGATGGCTTTTTGGGTGATTGCGTTCATGGATGCAGTAGTGCCTTTGAGTGCCGTGCCACTTAGTTACACAAGTAGTTGTGTGCCTGCCCACAAAATGCTGTTACTTTGTTAGTGATGAAAGGCGGATATATCAGCTTTCATCGAACTCGCAGATTTGAGGATTTTGTTGATTTGTCGACCACATGTTGACCAAAACATAAATTGGAATCCAAACTGGATACTGGGGCTAAACTTACATACCAATTTTGTTGCATTGTGATTAATTTGGTGGCAAATCAAATATTGATATTTTGAATATTTTCACGTTATTCTTAAAATATCACTGATAAAATATTGGAATTTTGCTCAATATGTTCAATAATCAGGAAAATATAACCTCATATACTGAAAATATTTTAAAGGCTATTTTTTATATAAGGATTGCAATTTTAAAATCTAGAATTAAGGTGCACCTAAAAAATCTATCGTGAAAGGTTGTTTTGAAGTTGGAAAACCATCTAATGGATCATCTCAATATAGAGATGTATGAATATAAAAAATAAATGAGGAATTCGAGTCTCAAAAGTAGTGCATCTTGCCATACAATATCTGAACCGTCCATTTTCAAGACTTTTATGTGTTCATAGATCTACTTGATTTGAACCATATTTGGAATCTAAAATTTGAAAAAACGAAAAAAGACATCTGGCTCTCTTACCATTAGATGGTCAGAGGGCAATAACCTATTTTCAAGGCACTTGGGAGATCAACCTCTGCAAAAGGAAGTGCACGCATTGAATGTTATATCTTGGCATGTATTCATGATTTTCCATTCCATTAATTTTAGGATTAAATATTGAATATTGAACTGAAATGGATTGGGATGGCTTAAAATGGAACGAAGTGGGAAGGGGTTGGAGTATTAGGAGTGGAATGAGAAATTGAGTATTGAAGAAAACTAAAGTTCAAGAAAATTGTTAGAAACATTGCAAGTGGAAGGCCTTGTAGCCTTAATGAGTCCTTTACATAATACATTTTTTTGGTTTAGAGCATATTCACACACAAGTTACCCAGCCATGTCCTGAATTCCTATATTCTGACAGTTTTTTTGCATAGTATGTGAAACAATCAACAAAAGGCTTCCAATTCAATCAATTCTACGTATAATAAACTATTCAGGATCTTAAAATCAGGACCTAAAAATTTGTAGTCAATATGGCAACAATCATGCCTGTGACATTAGTCATGACGCGGGAGACAGGACGTGTCACGGAAGACATGCAACGCTCGTGCAGTTTCGAAAAGGAATGAGCACAAACTCAGCATTCCAAAAACCCTACGGGCACATTTGGTAGGAGTGCAAATATTTTCATGAAAGCATTTTGAATTCTCCCTATGTAATTAGACATGGGAGTTTTTTCAAACTAATTAGCTGCTAATTGAGGCAAAAAAATGTGTTGGGATCAATTAGACTGACAAGTTAGTTTTTTCAAACTAATTAGCTGCTAATTGAGGCAAAAAAATGTGTTGGGATCAATTAGACTGACAAGTTCCACGGGAGTTCTTTCATATGAAAATACTTTCATGAAAATATTTTACCAAAAGTGCTCTAAAACATGACCTTGGCATTAGTTATATGTGGTCTATAGGCTGCTAATGTGTTTTAAAATATTTCAAATGATTCTAAGAGCATTATAATATGACCTGCTACACTAACATACCGTATCTGTAGACACATTAACCATGTCTCTATCAATATATTGTGTATCTTGAATCCTTCTAACTTCTAGAAGAAAGAGTTTGGAACCTAAAAACAGTAATTTTAAATTATTTAAATTGCCAGAGGGAGTTTCAATTTTTCTAGAAGGCTATCAGATCTCAGAATTGAAAATTTTGGGTATATAACGAATAATTCCATAATCAAAATCTATCAATCTGGATTTAGTTCAGATAATAATGATGAAATTTGATTAAATTCAAATTTTAAGCCGATATGGATCAGCTATGGATAGAGTCTTTACAAATAGATGGATCTGAGAGCTGGTAGTTTAGAAGATTCACATATAAAAACCCTAAGTTCTTCATCCTTCTTCCAATTTAGAAAATCCTAGCTCAACCCTAGGCCTCTAAGTCCATTAGTTCGCTTAAACCCTAATTAGGCATTATATCCTAAGAAATCTTCTAATTTTGCTTCTTGAAATGTTAAAACCCTAAATCTAACTTTCAAACATCAAGTTTATAAGAACGAATCAATTTCAGGCTTCTTTTCATTTTGGAGAGGACTTGTATAAAAATTCAGAAAGTCTCATCTGCTCCCAACCAGAGGTGGAAAGCCTATGGGCCTGGTTTGGCAAGTTTCTCTCCTCTTATTTTTATTTTTATTTTTTTGTTTTCTTTAATATTTTCTTGTTGATTTCAATCATATTGCATCATTTTTAATCTAGTTTTGGTGAAAAAATTGCTTTTCATCATATTAGATATGTTTCAATTCAATTTTATTGAAACGTACAAAACAGATTAGTTCTCATTTAAAGCTTTTGGAGGAAATTTAGCTAGCAAAGTTGGCAATAGATGAGAGATTATAAAAATGGGTGTTCAAATCATCATTTGACTAGATCCAGATTTTAAAATATTTCAAGCGTTAAGGTTTACCTCAGCTTGCACACATATTTAAGAGGGAAAATCTTAGATATTTGTTCCTTAATGCAAGTATAAGTATATATACTATTCTACTTAATTTTAGAAAGTTATAAACCCCGTCTCAAAGAAGTATTCATCTATCTTTCTAGTATTTGAATGGAAAAACGTTTATAAGGTTGCGATAGAAGTGAGGTGCAAGTGTTTCAAAAGTTAGAAAAGCTTTCACTTGATCATCTCGACTTTGAGATATATGGATATAAATAAAAAAATTCAGGTCTTAGATATAATGTATTTTATAATAAGTTATCTCCATTATCTGTTGTAGAGGTTTTCAAGTGTCTATAAATTCAGGTCCTAAATATAATGTATCTTGTAATAAATTGTCACCATTGTCTGTTTTAAAGGTTTTCAAGTGTCTATCAATCTGCTCACTCTGCATCGTTTTAGAAATTTTCAATTTCATAATCAGGGTTGAACATGGATTTTCAAGTGAAAATAATGTTTCTATTACCCGAACTATATATTCCAGGAAAATTTAGAGGTATTTCAATATCTTCCAACAAAATTTAGAGGTATTTCAAAATTCATGGCAAAAGATTCTTGGGTGTATATAGTCAATTCACTTCCTCACGTAAAAATAGTATTTTTAAAATATTTTTTGGATTTAATCTCTTGCTACAAACTTAAAAATAATAATAATGAATATAATTTTTTTTAGATAATTTGAAATTGGTTGATTTCCTAAATTTCTAAAACCCTGAATTTCCAAAAAAAATTGAAACCTGAACCACATGGACCATACTACTACCCTAACTAGTGATCCATAATACCTAAGAAAACCACTAAATCTACAAATTGAAACAAATTTGACCAGATTTATCCAAACTAATCCTAATTGATCCATACTTATCTAGAACAATAGGATATGGCTACAAAAAAAATAAAAAATCATGCATTGCGACCCAAAGAGGCATTAAACTTTGATTAGACATCCATTGGTGAACTCAGAGGGGCCTCTGGTGCAATTCTGTCAAGGTTAAGGCTCAACAATGCGGGGCTCAGCAACGCACCCTGCGCCGCTGCCTCTGGATCTTTTAGGGTGCCTGGTCCAGTCTAGATAAGTGCTCCTCTCTACAGAAGCTTCCTCCGGTTCTGCCTTTCGGGTCAAGCTTTTTGAAGATTTTAGAAATCTATTTTCCTATTCTAGGTCAAATGTCAATTCTAGGGATGGATTTAGAAGTCCTGATCCTAAATTGAAATCGAGGTCAATAAAGGCCTATATACCAGTTCCTTTTAATTCATAAACCATAACTGCATAACTTAAAGGGAAAAGTTTATATAGAGCCGAGGCTCTAAACAATCAAATTTCAGCCTACATCAAAAAATTTACTAAAAGAGGTTGTTTTGATGTCTAAATATCATCAAATTAATTATCTCAACATTAAGATGCATGGACATGAGAAAAAAATGGATTTCAAGTTTTGAAAATAGTGTATTTTATAATGCATTTTTTACCGTTAATTTTCAAAATTTTCAAGTTTTCATAGATTTGTCGTTCTACACTATTTTTGAAGCTTTAAACTTTATAAATAAAGATAAAAATGTATTTTAAAGCTATAACAAATATTTTCAGTATTGAAACCACATTTCTCGATACTATTTGAAAGTAGGCTCTAATTTGATTGTTTAGAGCCTAGGCTCTATACTAACTGCACCCTAACTTAAATCCTGAAAAAACAACCCTGAAAGAGAGAGCCTTAGGCTAGAGAAAACTCTAGAGAAACCCTAAAAAATGCTAGGAGACTCGCCCTATTCTCTACCATCCCAATTCTTTACTGTCCAAATTCTTTACAATCATAAAATCCAAATCTTGAAAGCCTTAGGAGAACATGGCCTAAAGCAAAGCTAAAATTTTAGGAAAAAACATTCTATAGGTACAAATTCAATAAATTCTTCATGAAAGAGAAAGCAAAAGGAATAAATCAACTTATAGTTTGTTGGACATCCCAACTCTAGGTCTTGGGTGTCCGGGGTCAACCGGCTCAGTGCAGTTGAATTCTTTCTTTCAGCGTTTTAAAAAACGCTGAGTCGAACAGGACTCGCCCGGTTCGACTCGGAAATAGTGAAAAAGGAATCGGATCGCCCAAAAATCGGAAATCGTCCGGTTCTAGAGAGAACCGGACGATTCTGTACAGTGAATCGTCGATTCACTGTACGGAATCGGCGAGT